CCCCAAAACCCCAAAACCCCAAAACCCCTAAACCCCTAAAACATATTGAAAATTCCTTATCCAAAATCCCTGACTGGGCTCTTGCCTTGCTGACTACTTTCTACTGCACTGATGCATTACTGCTAGACTCATTACATCGGGAGACAACCACTAGGTCATTGTTGAAGTCAAGTTTGAGTCTAGATTTTAGAGCTGTCTTTTGTGTATAGATTCTTTAGCTGGTGAGACTTTTGTAGCGAATATGGGTCTATTGTTAAGTCCTTCTTGTAGTGGCTAAGTCCACCCTTGGTAGGCTTATTTGTTTTTGAGGTTACTGGGGAGTTTACCCTTTCGATAGAGGAGTGGAGGGGTCTCTCCGGTTTGAGAGTTTCTCTTGCTTTTGAGGCGGACTTTTTGGGGTTGGTTTCACATGAATTTCTGAAGAGTTTTCATTTAAAAATTTACCTTTTTATGATCATCTATTGTAGATATTGACCTTTTGTTGAAATTTCCATAATTCAAATCATCATTGAGTAGGCTTGTGACAACCATTTTATTTCTGCTTCGATTTGCTAGCATTTCTGAGCTGATGAAGATTCTTTGCTCTCTTCTCTTTAAAACTCACTATTGCTGTAGTAGGACGAGCTCGCTTTCTTCTGAGTTGATTAAGGCTCAAACTTGTTTCAATCTTATTTTCCTTTCTACTGTTGGACTTTATTCTGTTATTTTTAGCTACTAAGGTCTTGCTCGCCATTGGCTGCTTTAAATGATTCCCAAGAGTGACTTTTGTTAGAGATAGTTCTTTCACAAGGGAGTTTTTGAATGTTAATGAATTGAATGATCATTCCCCAGTATCAACCACCACATCTCTGAATTTCTTAGGGTCTAAACAGGTTATTGATATTTACTTGGATCTTCATGGGGGTAAGGCACAATGGATGTGCAAGCTGCTTCTCTCCTTTTGTGTATTGTTCCCTCTAAGAATGTCGAGAGATGCTCGTAATACCCCTTTTCCTCAGCAAGATGAACTAACTCGTGTGCTTTCTTCGTTCCAGTGCCCCAAGAAGGATCTTCTTTTGTGATCGGATTCGTTGTTAATAAAGTAGGCTTGGTCGATATATGGTTCATATTATGTATAATCTTTTGAATATCAATTGGATTCTTAGTAGGCTTGGACGTCTGCAATGTAGACTTATTTCTATCCTCGATGGACATATTGAACATATTATCCTTTCCATCAACATCTAGTTCGAAATATTCCTTATCCCCGGTCTCTCCACATCCTATCTGTCCGATCTGTGAGGTTCGTTCTGTTTTAGGTCTGAAAACTCCTGAAAATCATTAAGAAATGTACTATTTTTATGAACTCTGACTGCTTGGTCCTTATTCTTCTTTTTATGGAGCATTATTTTCTTTTGCATTGATATGAAACAGATATTCTTGATCTTGCTGTGAGAAGAAAAAGGACATAATCTCTGATTATGCGCCTTCTATACCATCTAAGAGGAGAATACCTTGTAATTCTTAATTGTCTTGCTCTGCTTCATTACTCTTTTGTAACTACGAGAGTCCTTGGAAGGAGCTACTCTAAGTTTATTTTTTAAACTTAGGGTTTTTCTTAAGAGTTCTGATAGCTCTCGAGCCCTTTTCTCTGAGATTTACCATTGGTTCAGTTTTGTTTATTCCACTATCTGGGGTTACTTGTGCTTACTCCGGAAGAATCTCTGTGGGGATTGAATCCCACTCTTAGGAGAGGGTGACCTGGCTCTTTTGAAACTAAAATTGATGGTAAAATATGTAATTCCTCCTGAAATTTACCTGCTTCCTCTGCTTTGTTGGAGATCATAGATTACAACATCTTTGATAGGATTTTTTGAAATTTTGGATGAGAGATTTGTATTTGAAGCTACTGATACCAAACTCCCATTACTTCTTCTAGTAGTCTTCCTGTTTGGAGACGAAAGCATTTTTTGGAATAATTATTTATTTCAATTTAAGAAACTGAGAGAGGGGTTTTGGGGTTTTGGGGTTTTGGGG